GAATTCTTGTTCGGAGCTCTTGCGGAACCCTGGGATGGGCCGTTTGTGGCTCCCTCAGTGGAGATGGGCAGTAGCTCTTGCCCTTCCCTTTGCTCCAAAGGGTCCCCCTCCCCCCCTGGAAAAGAACCAGGAGTCTCAGCTGGAAGATGCCGCCTAGGGCGGAGTTGATCAATGTGCCTGCGCAGGACACGACCGTTGTCCAAGGCTACCTCATAGGATAGAGGACCAGTGACCCTGGAAACAGAAGCGGGGACCCATGTATGACCAGGCCCGTAATTGCGAGTCCAGACCGGGGCACCCACAAGTAGTTGTCTCGGTGCCCTAGGATGTGAGGTAGATGGAGGCAATCTGTCAGGATGCAACCGGTCAAGCTTAGTAGTAAGTTGACGCCCCCAACGAAGTTCAGCTGGACTTCTCCCTGTAGAAGTGGACGGTGTGGTGCGATAAGAAAGGAGAAAGTCAGCCAACCTGTGATGCCAGTCCCCGTAGGTGAGTCTCTTCAAGGCGTCCTTTGCGATGCGCACCATGCGTTCAGCCATACCGTTGGTGGACGGGTGAAAGGGCGCAGATGTGGCATGACGAATCAGGTTTGCCTGTAAGAAAGCTTGGAATTCGGAGGAGGTGAATTGAGGGCCGTTGGACACAATGACATCTGGCAGCCCGTGTGCAGCAAAAATCCCCCTCAGTACCTGAATAGTCTTTGCAGTGGTGGTGGATGAGACAGGCACAACCTCAAGCCATTTTGAATGGCTGTCAACAAGGACCAAGAAGAACTGGCCCTGAAAGGGCCCAGCGTAGTCAATGTGCACCCTAGACCATGGGGACTGTGTTTCCTCCCATCTATGCACAGGAGCTTGGGGCATCTCTGGGCGAGATCGTTGGCACAGGTGGCATGCGTGTACCTTAGCCTCAATATCTTTATCTAAACCAGGCCACCACAAGTGGCTTCGTGCAAGAGCCTTCATACGAACAATGCCAGGATGACCCTCGTGGAGGGATTCTAAGACCCTAGTCCTCATTGAGGTGGGAATGACAACTCTGTTTCCCCAAAGCAGACAACCCTGAGAAAGGGACAGCTCGTTCCTTTTGGACCAGAAACTCTGAAACTCAGGACTAGGGCAGTGCTCAGGCCAACCAGACAAAACCCAGGAACGGACACGTGAAAGTGTGTGATCTGTACCTGTTTCAGCGGCAACATCCCTGGCACTAAGAGGGAGCTCGGGCAAGGCTTGGATTGATAGAATGTTGACAGCTGGCGCGGGGTCAGCTTCTACTACTGGCAGAGGCAACCTACTGAGGCCATCAGCATGGCCCATTTCTTTCCCAGGCTTGTGGAGTAATGAAAAATCATATGCAGACAAAAAAATAGACCACCTAAGCATTCTAGGGGAAATGATGTGGGGAGTCTGCTTACGTGTGGTAAACAGTCCCAGCAGAGGCTTATGGTCAGTGAAGACCGTGAAATGCCTGCCATATAGAAAGTCGTGGAATTTTTTAATTCCAGCAACAACAGCCAGAGCCTCCCTGTCTATCTGAGCGGAGTTGCGCTCGGCAGAAGACAGTGTTCTGGAGTAGTATGCAATAGGAACCTGAGTTCCATCAGACCTGAGGTGACTCAGGACAGCTCCAACCCCGTAGGGGGACGCATCACAAGCGATGCACACAGGAAGAGACTCGTTGAAATGTGCAAGAACACGGTTAGAAGTGAGCAAGGCCTTGACTTCTTTAAAGCAAGCCTCATGTGCTTGTGACCACTGCCACACAGCTTGTTTGTCTAGTAGCCTGTGAAGAGGCTCAGCAACACTAGCTTTATGTGGAAGAAAAGAATTGTAGAAATTCAGGAGGCCTAGGAAGGCCTGAAGTTCTGCCTTGGACTTAGGCCTGGGAGCTTCTAAAATAGCAGTTAGTTTGGATTCAGCAGGGTGAATCCCAGCAGCATCAATTTTGAACCCCAGAAATTCAGTAGAAGGCACCCCAATCGTGCATTTGTCTTTTTTGAGCTTGAGGCCTGATTTCCTGAATCTTAACAGAACAGCCCTTAGCCTTTCAGCTAGAATGTGTGTGGAGTCTCCTGCAATCAAGACATCATCAAAGTAGGGGCAAACCCCTGGTATACCCTGTAGTGTGTTTTCCATTACGCTTTGGAAAATCCCAGGAGCGACATTCACTCCAAACTGTAGCCTTTTTACCTTAAAGGCTCCCCTGTGGGTCACAATGGTCTGAGCTATGGCAGCATTATCATCAACAGGCAGCTGTTGATATGCTTGAGCTAGGTCAAGCTTTGCAAAAACACGCCACCCCTTGAGAGAGGCCAGGATGTGACTGACCACAGGAACAGGATAGGCATGTTGCTGCAATGCCTTATTGAGTGTGCATTTGTAATCAGCACAAATGCGAATGTCCCCATTTGCCTTTAGAGGCGTGACAATGGGGGTCTCCCACGGACTGGAATCAACAGGTTCTAGAATTCCCTGTTGGATCAGTTTGTCTAACTCAGTGTCAATTTTACTCTTTAAAGCAAAAGGGACCCTTCTTGCTTTAATTCTAATGGGAGTGACAGTGGGGTCTAGCTTTAAGGACACAGGGTGTCCTTTGAATGTGCCCAGCTGGGGGCTGAAAACATCTGCAAATTCTTTGCAGACTTTCTGTAGGTCGAGTGTTTGTAAACTGTTGAGTCCTGTGACGTGTATCCCCAGGGCCTCAAACCAATCGAGTCCTATGAGACTCGTTCGTTCACCCCCTACTACTAATAAGTCTAGTGGACCTTCAAAACTCTTGTATTGCACATTAAGGGTGGCCTCCCCCTTAACACACACTCTTGAGTTTTGAAAATCTGTTAATACAATATCAGAAGGCCTTAACTTGGCCTTAGTCCCGCTACTGGAACAAATCTTCCTAAATGTATGCAATGAAATGATGGAAAGGGCAGACCCTGTGTCTAGTTCCATAGATAATGGAACCCCTTGTAGCTTCACTTTGAGTGACAGCTTTTTCTTAATGGGCTTGTGTGTGCCTGTCCTACAGATGCTTCTCCGCGAAGCGCAAAAACCTACCCTATTCTGGCTGGGGAATCTGGTATCTTTCAGGCGCAGTTCTTCCTGAGGTTGTACCTTTCGTCGGCCCAGACACACAGCTGCAATGTGTCCTTGTTTGCCTCATGCCCTGCAGGTAGTGGAGCGGAACTTGCAGTCAGTTCTCCTGTGGCGACCTCCACAGCCGATGCACTTGAGCGGAGCTGAAGAGCTTCCCTTCTGATTTTCTTCCTTCGCGGGGTGTAGACGGTCGACTTCCTCGTCTGGATCCTCCTCGGAGTTTCGTTGGACGTCTTCCTGGTGCACGGATGCACCCTCTGGACTGTTTCTGATCGGCAGCATGTTCTTGACAGCGCCGCCTGCTGCTTCTTCTGCGGTGACTTCCCTTAAGTCATCTTGGAAGGATAATTCTTCCTTAGCGAAAAGTCTCTGTTGTAGCTCTCGATGCCTTAACCCGCACACGAATCGGTCCCTCAGTCGTTCTTCGAGGTCCTTGAACTCGCAGTGCTTGGCGGCCTTCCGTAATGCGGCGATGTATTCCTTGGCTGACTCACCGGGCCGTTGATCCCTCTGTTCGAAGGTGTGTCGCCATGCGATGACGGATACCTTGGGGTGGAAGTGCTCCTTCAACAGCTTCTTCAGGTCTGCGTAGCTTACAGACTCTACTGGAGCAGGTGCTGCAAGGTTTTCTGCGATTTCGAAGGCGTCCTGGCCGCAAACGCAAAGCAGGGTGGCAGCCTTCAAGCTATCTTCCCTCACTTGGTTTGCCTTGAAGTAGTTCTCCATCCTGGATACGTAGGACTCCCACCGCTCTGGATGTGAGACGTCGAATTCCGAAAGCCTTCCAATATTCGCCATCTTCAGATCTTCAGGAGACGGGTCTATCAGCCAGCCTACCCCCGAATGCACACCGGATTGGCGGGCAGCTGCCGAGTCGACGCCGTTCCTTTCCGCCGCTCAGGACTCCTTGGGTAAGCTTACACTTCTTCCTTTCCAGGTAGTGCAAGGCATCCCACCTTCGTCGCCAGTGTTGTGTCCGTGGCGGGAAAACAGACACGAGAAGCAGCTGGAGTTCTCAGGTTTCTTTATTCAGCGTTCAGCTTACAGGTAGATGGCTTCTGGTGCGCCCAAACGCTTCGCAGCCTCTTATATAGGCAACTCCCGGGTAAATGTGTTACTTTTCCCGCGCCAGCACCCGCGCATGCGCACGGCGCTGGCGACAGCCTGTCTGGTCCCGGGCAGCTTTGCACCTGCCCGGGACTGCCTGCAAACGCCCGAGCCGTTTGCAAGGCTCGGGACATAACACCCAGCCTTTGTTTAAAACCTCAGCCAGTCTCTGGGTCGCAGAAAAAGAGAAAATAAAATAACAGGAGGTGGGAGAAGTATCCAGGAAATTAAACTTTCCAGGTTCTTTGGAAATCTGAAAACCAAGAAAAAAAGAAAGTGGAACTTCTTAAATATTTTCAACGTCTGTTTTATATTAAATGGTCTACCTTCCCTGCTACAAGACTTCTAACTCTGTTCGTCTGTTAAACTTTGAACTAGGAGGAAGACAACTGTATCTGAATTTCTAGCACAATTCTTGACCACGCCTAATATTATATTTCCCGTACTTTGATTTTTATTCCACTCTTGGAGATTGTCTTTGCTTTATGTTTGTTCTTTGCAACAAGGCCTGATATCTACCACACCTTGCTGATTGTAAACTCCATCTCTGGAGTTTAAAGGAACAGGTGCCCGATATAAACAATCCGTGGACTGCTTCAGAGCTTCTTTGGGTTGTTGTCGTCCATAGTTTTAACACAGTCTGCCTCCTCCCTTTACTAACGGGGGCAGTTCCACAGTTATGTCAGCCTGCATCCATTGCCTTGCAAGCCTTCAAAATAACCGTCACGTATTCAGAAAGATAACAGGAAATAGTCAGAAATTAAATCTTGGAGCAGAAACCCTGGTCTGCACCGTGATTCTTCTCTGTCTACCTGACTTCATGCTTGTCTACAAGCAAGAGACTAGCCAGGTCCAGTTGCATTTGTGAGCTACTGCTGGGTAAGCCAAGGTGTGATGTTTTGTTATTGCCTTGTCACCACTGCAAGACCTGTCTTGTGCAAATGTTTGACCTACCTATGCTCTTTCAGTCCTGGACAGACTAGTTCAACCCCCTCCTCAAGCAGGAGATTTTAGGAAGAGATTTTAAAAAGAGACAGAACAGCCATTTGTTGGATACGGTACAGGGTTTCCTGCTTGAGCAGGGGGTTGGACTAGAAGACCTCCCAGACCCCTTCCAACTCTATTATTCTGCTATTGTTAAAATGAATTATGGTTAATGTGGGCAAAGAGGTTTAAGCGTCTAAGCTACCAGGGTTTTCAATACTTCTTCATGAAGCACAGACAGGAATCAGCCCCCAATATCTGGGCTTCTTGTCTGTGCATTTGTCAGACAAAAAGGCGATAGAACTGCTGCAACAAAATCCATGTAGCTTTGGGTTGAATTCATAGAAAGGCAATATCTGGTGCATTAGAAGCAAGGTCTTATTGTTTTACTCTCTTGAGAGAATGACATTCACAGTTGGGAATCAAATACCACTTGGTAAGGCCACACTTGGAAAACTGCCCCCAGTTTTGGTCACCAGGATGTAAAAATGAGGTTGAGACTCTAGAAAGAGTGCAGAGAAGAGCAACAAAGATGATCAGGGGACTGGAGGCTAAAACATATAAGGAAAGGCTGCTGGAATTGGGTATGTCTAGTTTAATGAAGAGAAGGACGAGGGGGGACATCATAGCAGTGTTCCAATAGGGGCTGCCCCAAAGAAGAGGCAGTCAAGCTATTTTCCAAGGCGCCTGAAGGCAGGACAAGAAGCAACGGGTGGAAACTAATCAAGGAGAGAAGCAACCTGGAACTAAGGAGAAACTTCCTGACAGTGAGAACAATTAACCAGTGGAACAACCTGCCTCCAGAAGCGGTAAATGCTCCAACACTGGAAGTTTTTAAGAAGAGACTGGACAGCCATTTGTCTGAAATGGTATAGGGTTTCCTGCCTGAGCAGGAGGTTGGACTTGATGACCTCCAAGGTCCCACCCAACTTTATTATTATTATTATTATTATTATTATTATTATTATTACTAATTATTATATCTCAAGAACTGCACATCCCTGGTTTAGAGGGCACAGAATAATAATAATATTAATGGAAGAGTGTTTAAGAAACTGGTTCTTGGTCCATCAGCAACACGGGAGAGTCAAGTCCAGGGGTGGCATGATAACACCAGCTCCAGGGGGGGGGGTGGGAATAATTTTATGGGCCTGTTATTTATTTGTTTATTGGGTCTTTATCCCACTTTTATTACTACCAAGTGGCAAACATACCTAATTTATTTATTTATTTATGAGACTTATATACCGCTTTAAGTGCAAGCACTCTCTAAGCGGTGTACACCAGTAAGCAATGTATATATATATATATATATATATATATATATATATATATATATATATATATATATTTACATTGCCCCCAACAATCTGGGTCCTCATTTTACCAACCTCGGAAGGACAAAAGGCTGAGTCAACCTTGAGCCAGTCAGGATCGAACTCCTGGCAGTCGGCAGAGCTAGCAATAGCACTTATATTTACATACCACTTCATGGTGTTTTACAGCCCTCTCTAAGTGGTTTACAGAGTCAGCATATTTACCCCCAACAATCTGGGTCCTCATTTTACCAACCTCAGAAGGACAAAAGGCTGAGTCAACCTTGAGTTGGTCAGGATCAAAATCCTGGCAGTCGGCAGAGCTAGCAATAGCACTTATATTTACATACCACTTCACAGTGTTTTACAGCCCTCTCTGTAAACCAGAGTCAGCATACTACCCCCAACAATCTGGGTCCTCATTTTAAGGATGGAAGGCTGAGTCAACCTCGAGTCCTGTCAGGATCGACCTGCTGGTAGTGGGCAGAGTCAGACTGCAATACTGCCTTCTAACCACTGCGCCACCAGGGCTCCTGGGGCTTGATAATCTTCTCATCCCATTCCTTTTATTGGCTCACTTGCGCCAATCATCTTTTAGTATGAGAAAAATCTCTTGTGGTCCGAAAGGAAATCAACCCTGGCTGTTCTTTGGAAGGACAGATAAAGCTCAAATACTTTGGCCACTAAATGAGAAGAGCGGACTCCTTGCAAAAGACCCCCATACTTTTACTCTTGAAAGAGAGATTTAAACCAGACAAAAAAGAGTTATGGGTTTGATTTTGTGAGAAACAAATTGGAAATCCTACTGTGTGATAGCCATGAGCATTCTTACCAAAGTTTATAAATTGTTATTGAATTTGAATTTGGAGAATGAATAGGTAAAACCCTCCAGTGGGCAAGGAACTTGGGATATAATGCCACGCTTGAACCATGGGAGAATATGTGGACGAAAAGTTTAAAATTTACATTAAATTATAATTTCAAAGAACAACCGTATACGGTGATGTATCCTTGGTACTGAACGCCAGATAAGTTGTATAAAGGTATTTCAAATGAATGTTGGAAATGTAAAAGTAAAGGAAGAGGATTCACATCTTAATCCAGAGGATTCTCAAAGTGAATATAAAGATAAAACCGGAAACCTTTCTTTTGAGCGTACTATAAAAAGACTTGGGAAAAGAAATTGGAATTTTTATGTTATATATGTTGACGGCAGCAAGATTGCTTTATGCACAAAAATGGAAGGATACTTTGATTCCTACAATGGATGAACGGCTGCAGGAGTTGATGGGGTTAGCAGAGATCACTTAACTGTCTGCTTTGATTAAAGGAAAAAAAGCCAACACCACAATTACTTTTGTTTCTACTTGGAAACCACTTCTGGACTTTGTGCTTGAGGTGGGAAAAAAAAATGAAACTTTGGTTTTGGGTTTTACCAACTAGATGGGTTTATTGATACAGAAATGGCTCGATTATAATATTACGTTAAAAGAAAAAATTGAGTTTTGATGTTATCTTATTCTGCTTGCACCAAAGGGAGTCAGAAGCCAATGCCTGTTATTTATTTATTTATTTATTTATTTATGAGACTTATATACCGCTTTAAGTGCAAGCACTCTCTAAGCGGTGTACACCAGTAAGCAATGTGTATGTATATATATATATATATATATATATATATATATATATATATATATGTGTGTGTGTGTATATATATATATATATATATATATATATATATATATATATATATATATATATATGTAGGTCTTTGGTTGTTCGGGTTTTCTCCCGCGTAAAATTGGAAGTGTCTTGGCGACGTTTCGACGAAGTCCCATTCGTCATCTTCAGGCTGGTGTTTTCAGCTTCGTGCTTCGAGCAGCACGAAGCTGAAAACACCAGCCTGAAGATGACGAATGGGACTTCGTCGAAACGTCGCCAAGACACTTCCAATTTTACGCGGGAGAAAACCCGAACAACCAAAGACCTACATACAAACACCCGCGAAAACCTCAGATATATATATATATATATATATATATATATATATATATATATATATATATATATTTACATTGCCCCCAACAATCTGGGTCCTCATTTTACCTACCCCGGAAGGATGGAAGGCTGAGGCTGAGTCAACCTTGAGCCGGTGAGATTTGAACCGCTGACCTGCTGAACACAGTCAGCTAAAGTGGCCTGCAGTACTGCACTCTAACTGCTGCGCCACCTCAGCTCATCATAATACTCCTTTCTCCTCCTATTTGGGATGAAAGAGAATGATTGAGCCCAAGTCACCCAGCGGGTTTCAAGCCTAAAGTGGCTCACCATCTCCTGGTTTCTAGGCCAGCACTTGAACTACTACACTGCACACAAGCATGGAGTTTGGCTTGATCACCAAAACAATCCCTTCCAACTCCAGATAGTAGTAGATAGACAGTAGCTGTAGTTTGCTCCCCTAGGTCTCCTGAAGCTCCATCTGCTAACTCAGTAGCAAGCAATGCTCCAGTCATGATTGAAACGTTCCAGTTATGAAACTTGAAGCAGTAAATTGGAAGCTGTCAACGGCAATCAGAAAGCATCAAATTCTTACCAGGGGGTGGACTTGATGACCTCCAAGGTCCCTTCCAATATTATTATTATTATTATTATTATTATTATTATTATTATTATTATTATTATTATTATGAATCATCGCACAGTCAGCCATGATGGATTAGGCAGATGTGGATGTTTGATGGTATTACAGATATCGTCGCAGGATGGAAGCAGTTCCCAGTAAGGCCGCCTTTTGCAATTGACTGTTGGCAAATTTGTCAATGCCAATGATGGTGTCCAAGTGGTGCTCCAGTTGTTTTGGGATTGCACCCAAGGCGCCTATGACTATTGGTACTACCCTTGCTTGCCTTTGCCACAGTCTTTCTATTTCTATTTGTAGGTCTTTGTATTTTGTTATCTTCTCCAGTTCTTTCTCGTCTATTCTGCTGTCTCCAGGCACTGCCACGTCCACTATCCAGACTTTTTTTTCTTTTTCTTATCGACAATGGTTAAGTCTGGGGTGTTATGTTGCAGGTGCTTGTCTGTTTGAATTCTGAAGTCCCAGAGCAGTTTAATTTTATCATTTTCTATGACTTTCTCTATTTTATGATCCCACCAGTTCTTGCTTACAGGCAAATGATATTTCTTGCAGATCTTCCAATGCACCATTGTTGCTACTTTGTCATGCCGCTGCTTGTAGTCAGTCTGTGCGATGATGATGATGATTTTCTTCCTCTCTCTTCTGCCTCTTCCTTCTTCTCTTCCCTCTTTCTTACCTTCTTCCTTTCTCTTCCTTCCCTCTCTTTCCTCTCTTCCTTTTCCTTTTTTTCCTCACCCTTCCCTTCTTCACCCATTTACCATTTCTTTTCCCTTCCCACATTCCCGCTCTTCCATCCAGCAGTGTAAGCCACCTGCTTGGCTTCCATCTAACCAGGTGGACTAGCTGGGCTTAATCTGCCCTTGGCCAAACCCAATCTCAAGACCTTCTAAAGTTCTTCGTGGAAAAGGAAGAATAGCTAAATCACAGCTTTATCATTATGCTTCTCTTTTTCAAGCAAGAAGATTCCCCTAGAAGGACCAACCGACCAAGCGCGTGGCCATGTGGCGGCTATGGATCCTTCCCTTGGCTGCCTCTTTTCTCCTGCCTGAAACTGGGGAGGTGGTGAACAGTTTCAGCAGCTGCAATCAGTTTTTCTTGGGTGGAAACCCCCCCAATCTGAGGCCGATGAATCCAGCCAGAATCTGTCAGTTTTATTGGGGCAAGTATCGATTTGCCACAATGTACAACATAAGTGGGCGCATCCCTCTATTCTCGGCGTATAAATATCAACCTGATGGGATGGGAAGAAGAAATGACTGGAAGATCGAACCACAGGTAAAAGGAGTTCCTACTGGAAGCTAGACTTTCCTGAAATGGAGGCAACCTTGAAGGAATGACCAGACATTAGGAAATCCGGAAAGACGTTGAATTTAAGAATTATCAGTACCTAATCAATCCCAGGGTTACAGCTAGGCTGTAAGAGTTCTGTTGACTTGACTTTCCACAATGGCAAGGTCCTACTTCCATCTTTTCCCATAGAACGAAGTTCAGAGGTCACCCAGAACCCAACAGTTCAAGCTGAAGCAATGTGCATTCTCTACTAGGGCAGGGCTTTTCAACCTTTTCACCCATTGTACCACTTTTAGGATACGGCAACATCCAAGTACCACCAGTCGCCTAGCAAGGTGTCAAAAACTTGATGACCAAGTGGGGGATGGGAGGGGTGTTTGGTTTTTATTCTGCCCCCCCCCTCCATCTGCTGGGTGGTTGCAGCAGGTTTTTGATCACTTCACACGACCCTGGGACACTGTGACCGTCATAAATATGAATCAGTTGCCAAGCATCTGAATGTAAATCACAAGACCCTGGAGATGCTGCAACATTCCAGCTGATTGGCACTTCTTCTGGGCTCAGCGGAAGAGCCAGGATCAGTGCAGAGCTCCAGCTGGAGCCTGGCGCTGATCCTGGTGCTTCCGCTGAACCCTGACAGTCCCAAAGAAGCGCTGATCCTGGCGCTTCCGCTGAGCCCTGACAGCCCTGCAGCTCCAGCCGTCTCTCGCTCAGGCTTGTGTGGTGCTGCCACCGGTTCAGCTCATTCCCCTCCCCTGCTACCACTTTTCTAGAAAGGTCGCGTACCACCTGCCAGGTGCCAATGTACCACAGGTGGTACCCGTGCCACTGGTTGAAAAGCCCTGGACTAGGGTACAACTTAAAGTGGTCTGCCCAAGTGGGTCAATCTGGGATCTCAATCTATCTGAAGGCCACCAAAGAATCATAGAATCAGAGGTCCTCAGGGGTCTTCTAGTCCAACTTCCTGCTCAAGGCAGGAGACACACCAGCCCAGTCAAATGGTTGTCCTATCTATGCAACTATATGACCAAATATGCAAGCTCTATTATAGAGTACAGTCTCCCACACCCCAATCTCTGGCTGATTTTTTTTTTCCAGATTCAGGGTATCTGATTCAGTGATGTGTGAATGTTAATCAAACTCATTGCTTTGTCCTTTCTTATTCCCAGCTTGCACTCCCCGGAGAGCGTACACGAAGAAGCATGGAACTGGAAAAGACATGCAAAATTGACCCGAAGCTCCTTGAAAAAAGCCAGGCCGTATCCAAGGATTACAAACAATCTACTATGTATGACAAAGGACACTTGCTGCCTGTGTCCCACCAACCTGACCAGGATAGCAAAGCCGCAACCTTCACCTTAACCAACATCATGCCCCAGTTTTACCAACTCAATAGAGGAAAATGGGCAGAATATGAAAGAAATATGAAAAAATATACTACAGGGTGCCGTGAAACATATGTCCTTGTGGGTGTGGTGGCAGGGGATAAACTCCTCAATAAGAGAGTGACTATACCCAGTCATATTTGGGCTGCAGCTTGTTGTGTGTCTCAAGACAATCAGAGAAGATCTTGGGCTGTCGTTGCTAGAAATAGTGAGAATGAGGTGTACCCGGGAACTCTGCGACAGCTGGAAACATTCCTTGGGAAATGTTACGGAAAGAAGAACATTAATCTTTTCAACGGTGCTTGTTATTCAAGGGATATTCCCGGAGCAAATACAATCAGACGACAAACCTAGCCGTTTACTTGTTCAACATAGGGAATGAACACAGTTAATTATAATCCTGGTTTGTTCTGTCTTGCTCAAAGTTGTGAAAATCCAGGCTGTTTGCCCTAGAACAGGGGTAGGCAACATTGGCTCTTTTATGACTCGTGGACTTCAACTCCCAGAATTCCTGAGCCAGCATGAGGGAACTATGGCCCCCTCATGACTCGTGTACTTCAATTCCCAGAATTCCTGAGCCAGCATGAGGGAACTATGGCCCCCTCATGACTTGTGTACTTCAATTCCCAGAATTCCTGAGCCAGCATGAGGGAACTATGGCCCCCTCATGACTCGTGTACTTCAATTCCCAGAATTCCTGAGCCAGCATGGGGGAACTATGGCCCCTTCATGACTCGTGGACTTCAACTCCCAGAATTCCTGAGCCAGCCATGCTGAGGGGAATGGGAGAGGTTTCCATGCTGAGCCAGGCTGGCTCAGGAATTCTGGGAGTTAAGGGGGCCAAGTCATGAGGGGGCCAAGTTTGAAGACCCCTGCCAAAGAGGCTTGTAGCCACCATACATGTGAAATGGTCTAGCTCAGGGATAGGCAACCTTGGCTCTTTTATGACTCGTGGACTTCAACTCCCAGAATTCCTGAGCCAGCCATGCTGAGGGGAAAGGGAGAGGTTTCCATGCTGAGCCATGCTGGCTCAGGAATTCTGGGAGATGAAGTCCACGAGTCATAGAAGAGCCAAGGTTGCCTACCCCTGGCCTAGTTTATGGTTCAGATTATTGAGCAAACCTGGAAAAATAAATTAACCCAGTCACCAAATGAAGGGTGCAATCCCTTTAACGACTGTCCGATGTTATGATGAGGCTTTGAAAAGTGACTTACAAGCAATCCTCGCATGTAGGACTGTTGCAGTGTCCTATGATCACATGATCAAAATGTGGGGGCGACTGGCCTGTATTTATCATGGCGGCGGTGACCCAAGTTCACCCTTTGCAAGCTTCCCAAGAGCCCTCTATTAAGCACAGTCAAGCTGGTTTTGTTTAATGTCCAAGCAAGAATGGTCATAAAATCAGGCATGACTCCCTGAATGATTATGTTGCTTAGTGACAGAGGTTCAAGTCCAGGTTCAATAAGAGATATGTGTGTCTAAGTAGTACATGTGAATATAATCATTAACTGGGAAAATAAAACCCTCAAAACTGAAATCCACATGCATACACTTTTATAAAAGTTTTGGTGTTTGTATATTGATGAAGAGGAATAATCTATGGGTGCTAGGCTGTGTTAAAAAAGGATAGAATCAAGATCATGTGAAGTGTTAGTACCGTTTTACAATGCCTTGGTAAGGCCACACTTGGAATCCTGCATCCAGTTTTGATCACCACGATATAAAAAAGATGCTGAGATTCTAGAAAGAGTGCAGAGAAGTGCAACAAAGGGGACTGGAGGCTAAAACAACAAGGAATGGTTGCTGGAATTGGGAATGTCTAGTTTAATGAAGAGAAGGACGAGGGGAGACATGATAGCAGTATTCCAGTATCTCAGGGGCTGCCCCAAAGAAGAGGGAGTCAAGCTATTCTCCAAAGCACCTGAAGGCAGGACAAAAAGCAATGGATGGAAACTAATCAAGGAGAAAAGCAATCTAGAACTAAGGAGAAACTTCCTGACAGTTAGAACAATGAACCAGTGGAACAACCTGCCTCCAGAAGCGGTGAATGCTAAAACACTGGAAGTTTTTAAGAAGAAACTGGACATGGTATGGGGTTTCCTGCCTGAGCAGGGGGTTGGACTAGATGACCTCCAAGGTACCTCCCAACTATTATTATTATTATTATTATTATTATTATTATTATTATGGATCATCGCACAGTCAGCCAGATGTTCAGACTGGATTTGGCATTTTGTCTACCTATCCTTACCCAGGACCTGGGATAGGCAGATGTGGATGTTTGATGGTATTACAGGTATCGTCGCAGGATGGAAGCAGTTCCTAGTAAGGCTGCCTTTTGCAATTGACTAATAATAATAATAATAATAATCCCCCAGTGAGGCACTACCTTGACGTGGTTGTGGGGCTTGTGTACTCTGAGGAAGATGAGAGCTATGCCAGAGGTTCAACCATACTGGACAGGTCTCATCAGAGGAGTCAGACAAAGAGTGTCTCTCCCATAAAAAATATGGTGAGACGTAAATTTCAGAATGCCATACCAGCTCGGACGTCGCCCGGGTTAACAAGGTCCGCGCTAGATATTGGAGTTCCTGGATATCTGGTGAAAAATGGGTTACAGGACTCAGGACTGTTGGCTGAGCAACCAGGGCCAGCAGCTGCAGAACTACTGGAAGAAAAGGTGTTTACCCGTCGCAGATACACAGTGATGGAAAACAAAGAAATAATGATCTGTTACTACAGATCAAGTCCAACAAGAAGAGGATATCTAAAACGAATGCACCAGTTCTGGAAAGAACAACATCCAGAATCAGAAATAACAGAACAGAGACTAGCAGATCAACGCCGATTTATAACACGAAATAAAGTATTCACAGAAACAGAATTGGACGAACTGCAAAGGTTTACCCAGGGCAAAGAAATCAAAGCCTTACCAGAAGTAATTCAGAATGTAGAGGCAAACCAGGGGGAGTTGGCAGTGAAGGAATCCAGCAGAGATATACAACTGTTCTCATTTGGAAACCAGGCACCTCTTCCTCAGGAAGAACAAAACCCTCTAACTAAAGAAATAAAAGAATTGAAACAAAGAATAACTGAGCATCTAGAACAGCACAAAAACAACAGAATAAGACTACCTGCATTGAAGCTTGTTCCAAAGAAACAGCTAGCACAAGCATTAAAAGATGCAAATACTGCAATATCAAGTATAAGCACCAATTCACTGCAAGAAACAAACCAACTAATGTACAGCACAGCTGCAGTTATAACAGAATATCTGGGATGCAAAATCAACAAAAAAGAAAAACAAACAAACAGTGCACCAGAAAAATGGAAGGTTAGACTAGAAAATAAGATCAGCAAGTTAAGATCACATGCAAGCAAGCTAGAACAGATGAAAGAAAAGAAGCTGAAGAACAAGAAGACCAAAGAATACCTAATCAAGAAATACCACTTAGAAACAAGGAAGATCAAGGAAGCACTGGAAATAATAAAGCAACAAATAACAGCTATAGCCAGGAAAATCAGTAGATATGAAGCTCGAATTGCAAACTATAGGCAGAACCTCCAATTTCAATCCAATCAGAAACGTTTCTACCAATCCATCAATGGAGAAACTGCAAGGAATCAGTCAGTACCTGACAAGGAAGAAACAGTGCAGTTCTGGAAGCAGATATGGGATAACCCAAAGAAATACAACAAGGATGCGGCTTGGTTAAAAGAGGTGGATGCAAATAAAACAGAAGTTGAAATGAAAGAACTAGTAATAACAACAAAAATGGTAGAAAAAAGAGCAAAGAAAATCAAAAATTGGTCAGCACCAGGTGAAGATGAACTGCATGGGTTTTGGTTGAAACATCTAACTGTTATACACCCACTCATTGCCAAGCAGTTCAACAATATACTACAAGGAGGAGAAATTGAAAAGTGGCTAACAACTGGGAAAACCTACCTAATAATGAAAAATCCAGCAAAAGGGGCAACACCAGGTAACTACAGGCCAATTACCTGCTTACCAACAACTTTCAAATTACTAACTGGTGTGGTAGCTGATGCAGTACAACAGCATCTAGTTGAAAACAATCTCTTTCCACCTGAGCAGAAAGGAAACCGCCCCAATAGCAGAGGAACAAAAGATCAACTCCTAATAGACAAAATGATCTTGGAAAACTGCAAGAGAAGGAAGACCAACCTGAATGTGGCATGGATTGACTACAAAAAGGCATTTGACTCTCTGCCACATGATTGGATAATAAAGTGCCTAGAAATAACAGGAGTCAGTAGAAACATCAGAAAATTTGTGCAAAGATCGATGGCACAATGGAAGACACAGTTGCAGATCAATGGTGAGAGACTGGGAGAGGTTAATATCAAGAGAGGAATATTTCAAGGAGATTCATTATCACCATTACTATTTGTTATTGCACTGTTTCCTCTGTCAACAATACTGAATAACTCAGGACATGGCTATCAAACATCAAAAACATCTGCCAGACTATCCCACCTCCTTTATATGGATGATCTGAAGCTGTATGGAAAAACATCATCTGAAATAGAATCGCTGCTCAACACTGTCCGTATATATAGCCAAGATATTGTAATGGAGTTTGGCTTGGACAAATGTGCCACACTTACTATCAAACAAGGAAAAATAATGAAAACTGAAGGAATCAAGATGCCCCACGAAAATAACATTAAGAGTCTGGATGAGGAAGAGTACTACAAATACTTGGGTATCCTTCAAGCTGACAACATCAAGCACACTGAAGTCAAGAAAAAGATTAGAGGTGAATACATCAAGAGAGTGAAGAAGATCTTAAAATCCAAACTCAATGGAGGAAATACCATAAAGGCAATCAACACCTGGGCAATCCCAGTCATTAGGTACACAGCTGGAATAGTGGAATGGACTCAAGCAGAACTAAAAGCAATGGATAGGCAGACCAGAAAAATAATGACAATGAATCATGCCCTTCATCCACGCAGTGACATTGATAGACTTTATCTACCAAGGCAAATAGGTGGGCGTGGAATGCTACAAGTACATCAGATGGTTGAAGAAGAAAAAATGGCTTTGGAAGAATATCTGAAGAACAATGATGAAGATGCACTGAAATTAGTATATCAGGAAGGCTTACTAACTACTGGAGAGACCAAACTGGCCTACAAGAAAGACCAAATGAAGAACAGAATAGAGGCATGGGAAGACAAAGCACTACATGGCCAATACATGAAAAAAATAGCTGGGAAAGCAGATAATAATAAAACCTGGCAATGGCTAAGAGCAGGAAAATTGAAGAAAGAGACCGAGGGACTAATTCTGGCTGCACAAGACCAAGCCTTAAGGACAAATGCATACAAAGTCAAAATTGAGAAGACAGCAACAGACAGTAAGTGCCGCCTATGCAAAGAAGCTGAAGAAACAGTGGACCACTTGGTAAGCTGTTACAAGAAGATTGCACAAACTGATTACAAGCAGCGGCATGACAAAGTAGCAACAATGGTGCA